CCAAGATTCTTCCGGCCGTCAGAGGTGTTTACCACGCCCGAGATCCGCATGCTGCCGGATATAGTTGGCAGCAAGACACCCGAGTTGGCACTATTTGACGACGCAGACGCGGTGACTTCCGCAGCTATGCCGCTCAGCGCGCTCAGCCCACGCACGCAAACAGCGCAGGCTGGGCTTACACTTCTAGCCGCGTCTGCGTCTGCGTCGTACGCGCGGGACGCGGGGCAGCTGACACCCGATATGGCTATGCTGCGGACCACCAGCGGCGCCAGCATGATGGCGCTTAGCCCACATCAGCAAAATGCGTCACAGTCAAGTCTGGGCGGAATTGGGTCGCCAATTGCGGGCAGCGACACGCAGGCAACGGCTGTGATGGGTGCTGCGTTCCTCAATGCCAACGGTAACGACCCGACGCTGATGTCGCAGCCACACAATAGCCTGGCACACCACATGTCACCGCCAATGGTCGACCGCGGCGCGCGCAACATCACACGGCTAGGAGCAACATCAGGGCCATTTGCGGGCGGGCTGTCTGTGCTGGCGCACACGTCCAATCCAGCACTGCAGACGCTGACCACGGCTGCGGCAACAGGCCGCCTGACACGCAACCGCAGTCTGCTGCGACAGTCATCAGGCCTGACCAACGCCAGCTTTCACAACGACTTGGTGCCGCAGGCAACTGAATCGTTCTTTGCGCCGCTGGACGAGGTGTGCTCGGACGGAGCCGAGCAGACGCAGCAACCGCAAACGCAGCCGCAACCGCAAACGCAACACCATTACCAACAGCAGCCGCCGCCAATGGGCGTACAATTTTCGCCGGCGATGCCCCTGGCAGCAAACCAGCAGCCCGCATGGGCGACGTCGCAGCGGATGGGTGGCTCGGCATCACCAATGGTTCCGTCAGGGCAGTATGCAGGGCTATCCCCGCTGTCTCCGCTGGCGCGCACAGTTGCCCCGCACACGGCAATACCAAGCCCCGCGTCTGGGCACGTGAACTACGCACCGGGTGCTATATTTTCGCAAATGCCGTCGCTGACTACAGCGCCGCCCCCGCCTCAACCGGCGCCGGCTGGTTATATGTACGATGACGAATTCTGCGGCGACTCGCAGAGCGACTCTGGCCAGTCGAAGCGGCGGCGCACCGGCAAGCACAAGCGTGATCAGGAACGCCGCTTTGACTGCGATTGCTGCGATCGCTCGTTTGCGCGCCAGTACAACCTGAAAACACACCGGCTCACGCACTTTCCCGACACGAATGAATCGCGACCATACAAGTGCCCGTCGTGTCCAAAGGCGTTCACGCGCCGCCACGACCTCCAGCGCCATGCTGTGCTACACGAGCGTTCAGGCAAACATATTTGCGAAAAGTGTCTACAGGGCTTCCCCCGCAAGGACTCTCTAAAGAACCACCAAAAATTGGAATGCACCAGCTAAGTCGGCTTTGTTTTTTCTTTGAATATATATGCATTTTGTTACCACATAAATTTATTACAACGCGAGTTCTAAGAGATTTCTTTTGCAATCTTTTCTTGCCTGAAGCTGACGCTGCAGTTGGCTACCTTAAGCACCCGGTTGAAGTTGTTGATGAATAGCTGATGATGACTATACATCCATATTCAGCAACTAAAAATAGTGCGAGATGACATGTTATGAACGTTTTGTTCAGTGCTGAATGTTACAACTTATTAGTCATGGGGTTTAGTTTTAAGTAAATACATCCTTCGCATATCCAATGCATAAACGCGTATTGCCAACAAAAGCAAGAATAATAGCTGTGGCAACCATTGCATGAACTTGGAAGAAATGCCAGAAAATGCGAATAGGTGTATAAATAAAGCATAATAAGCTGCTTGGTGAGCCCAACCGCAACTGCAAGACCCGCCAAACAGGCATAGTGTCGGGTCTTTCAAACAAAAAAAGTAATCCATAAGACTTTACCCTTGTCTTTCGCAGAAAGCATGGGCAATAATCGCCATTAACGCGGATCTACGGCCAATTTGGCAAAGAAAACCGTTTCTTTATATATATCCTTTGGTATATGCAGACATGCTCATGATATTAGCTTGAATTGCTGAACTCCATGATTTTAGCCATTGTAGCACAATGGTAGTGCGTTCGGCTTTTAACCGAAAGGTTGCGGGTTCGAACCCCGCCAGTGGCTTCTTTTTTGCACTTTTTTTTGCGTTGAAAGCGAAATAAATAATCTTTGTAACTATAGTCCGAGCGTCAATATCAAGGCCAGCGCTGCAATGTGTGGCCGTATCTGTTTTGCCCCCGATATTTTTTGTTGCCTCACGTCTGTGGCTGTCGACAGCTGGCTGGTGCTTACTGCAGTACACATGGCTGTTAACGAGCAGTTGGCAACTGTGCTTTGGGTGCTCGTGAGCAGGGGATCAGCGGCTGTGGTGCTTGTTTGTTGATCTTGCGCCATGGACGTCGCATCTGCATCTATAGTGGTAGTTGCTGTTGTGTGGTAGAGAACGCCGATTTCATAGTCACTGGCTAGCTTGCCAAAATACGTCGAGTTGTACTGGATGTCTCCACCGCCAGCCATGTTTGCCGCTGCCAGACCCAGCATGTGGTTTAGCCGCACATCCATGTGAATATCGTCGTAAAAGACGAAATCGGCGGGATCAGCACAGCTGCCCAGCTCGCTGATACACGCGTGTGTGCTGTTTTTGGCGCCGATTGTTTTGGAAAACGTGCTGTTTGCAGTTACTAGCAAAAATGATTCCAGATCGAGAAGCCATAGCTTGGTTTCTTTGACGCTTTGCTCGTTTTCGATTAGCGATTTACGGAATAGCATATTGGCTTCGGTAACAAAGTCGCGCAGCACATCGACCGACGCAGACATCCGCCAGCGCGGGGTTATGTAAAGTGCGGGGAGATTGGTGACTGCAATTCCTTCGAACCCGAGCTTGCTCAATTCTCTGACCTGCAAAAACACATTGTCCACTAGCGTCTGTGCAAATGTCTGCTTGTCTTTTGGTTGCTGGAGCAAATGCGTGCTTTTCTTAATTACATCTGTGGTGCCAGCGCTGACCACCGCGATGCTTTGGTGGATCCCGCTCTTGCGCCGAATCCAATCGCGCTCCGATTCGGTAAACTCTATTATCTGCTCGCTCAGCGCCGGTACGGGGTGTTTCTCAACCACGGACGGGATCCACTCGTTGTCTACGGTTGCGTTTGCGTATGCGTAGCTCTTGAAGCTTCGACCCATTGCAGTTGCCATGTACTCGGCAAATGTTGGTCCGTTGGTCAGTCGGCCGTCGTTATAACCAATGGTGCTGTCGTTGGTCAGCTTCTGGAGGTTTCCTGTGTCGCCGAGATCATCGCCAAACACAACCACCTGGCCCTTGCCCTCCGATGCAGCTGTTACTCCCGTTGCATATCTGACGCATGTTATTCCTACTGCAACGGCCAATATATTACTAAGCATTATAAAAAATATTATACACAGAAAAAATGAACATGTTATTTCTTGTCAGTTCTAGGCGCTTCGTTTTGTTTTTATTCATTAGCTGTTATCTAGCCTACTGTTGGCATTAGAATAAAACAGTAAATGACGGTTCATGCCTTGCATAGAATAGGCATCTACTATGTTAACGGCTATTCTAGCCAAAAAGTAATTTCATGTATTCAAACGCAAACTGCAAAGGCCTAGTAACAAATATTTAACATAATAGTTAAGTTAAAGTGACAAGTTAACCAGGTTTTTTTTAAAACAAAAGAACAAGTTGTTTGGAATTGTTTTATTCATAAGCCATTAATAAAATATGGACTCATTAAAAGTTAATTGACCTGTTTGAGGTCTAAAGTTGTCAAATTATACACACATTTGCCTTTTTGGAATGCTTAGCACCCCGTGATGGAAACGGCTTTGCTAATGGCTACAATGATGCTTTCTTGTTTCTCTGGCCACTGACTGGGGGCATCAAGCCAAGAAGCACCAGCATGGCATTTTCCATTCCATCCAAATACATTATGTTTTTAGTGTTTTCTCTTCTACATTTTCTTGTGTTTAACAGTGTAGTCCATTTTCTGTCTATTCGTCCATATGCCTGTCACAGTTGGCTAAATGTTTTGGACTAATAGTTTATCAGTGAACAAACCAAACAAGTGATACGTCATTTGTGCTGTGAATGCAAACATATATTGTTTAGTTACTTTTAGAAATAGTCACTCGCCTGAAAGTAGAAAATATACCTGCGGGTACATTCGTTGCAACTACAAAACAGAAAGACAGAACAGCAAGGCGTGTATTACGGCAAATTGACACAAATGTGAGGTTTTGCATTTCAGATCCAATCACACGCGATCGTAATTAAATCTGGCTATGGTCAAAATAAACCGAAACCGCGTTTCGCAAAAAAAAAAAACATGAATTCACTTTTAGCTCACTTTTTCTTATTTTCAAAATGAATGGCGATTCCAACAATCCACAGCTGCGCATCCGTAGCATAGACAAAACGACGGTCGACTTTGTCCTGTCAAACACACAATTAAGGTACGCGAGGGGGGAACCGTTTACATTAACCAACACTCGTACCAATTCAGACAATACAGTTTTTATTACTAACTTTGTATTACCGTTGATAATGTAGCGTTGCAAACTCGTTGCGGCGGACGATGATAGCCGAGGTGCCAACGATGGCCATTGACTTGGTGCAGTTTCTGGAGAATACATCGGTTTTGGCCGACGAGTTTCTCGCGCACCGGATGGGGCTGGTCCCATTGACGAGCCACAACGTGGACCAGTTCAAATACACGCGCGACTGCACATGCGCCGAGTACTGCAAGGAGTGCTCGGTGGAGTTTACACTGCACGTAAAGTGCACGGAGCCGGGGACGCGCGCGGTGTACAGCACGGAGCTGATCAGCAGCAACAAAGACGTGGTGCCGGTGATCGAGGGCGACGATAAGGGTGTGTTGTTGCTGAAGCTGCGGATGGGCCAGGAGATTAACCTGCATTGTGTGGCGAAGAAGGGGGTGGCCAAGGAGCACGCAAAGTGGTCGCCGTGCGCGGCGGTTGGATTCGAGTACGACCCGCACAACAATTTGAAGCACCTGGATTACTGGTACGAGAAGAGCATCAAGGACGAGTGGCCGCTGAGCAAGAACGCGGAGGAGGAGGTGGAGAACGACCCTGATGCGCCGTTCGACTACAAGGCCGAGCCTACGACGTTCTACTTTAACGTGGAGACGATTGGCAACATGGACCCGCAAGCGGTGGTGTTGAAGGCCACCAGGGTGCTGCAGGAGAAGCTCGGGGCGCTGCAGCTGGCGTTGGACGAGGACCAGAACGCGGACACGAATGCCAACATGGATGACGCTGAGCCGTGGGTCTAAATCATTGTTTGCTTAAAAGATAGTAAACAGAGAATGTCGCTTACCAGATCTTTGGATAATCTTGCCTCCCCCCATCGCGTGTTACTATAAACTCCACAAAAGCATTCTCTTGCACCAAAATGTTTGTTTGCCTAGAAATAGCAACAGGTCTCCGCATCATTTACTGTCACATTTCCCCCACTTGTCGCTTGGACAAGCTACAGAAGCGGTGTTACTCGGGCAAAACAAACATCCAAACATTTCCTTGCTTGCTCTCTCTCTTCCTCTCTTTAGTTTTTTTTACTCTTGGGTGTTTGTTATTTTTCCACCAGTTTTGCTTTCTTTTTTCTATAGATTTCGGTAACCATGGGCAGAAAAAAGATCAACATCCGGGAGATTGAAAACTCGCGCCAAAAAACAGTCACATTTGCACGCCGTCGTGCTGGTCTTATCAAAAAGGCACATGAACTGAGTATTCTATGCGGTGTCAAGGTCGCGGTAGTTATATTTGACTCCAAGAACGCCAGCCATGTGGTAAGCAACAAAACCCCAAAAACATAATATATTGCTAAAAGCTGATCAGGACCGCACACAATTATTGTTGCTAATGTGTATTTTTTTTTTCGTTAATATAGTACTCGTCGGCAGATACGCCCGAGGAGCTGTTTACAAGATACCTCAACAAGCAGTTTCTGACAAACGAGTCCCGGAAGCGCAAGGACACGGTGGAGAGTAGCGACGATAATGGCGGCACGTACGGGTTTGACGGCAACGGCACGTTTATGCGGCGGCGGCTGGCGGTTGTCAACGAGTACAAGGTGACGTCGGATGGACCAAACTCGAGAAACCTGCACGTCAAATACACCAAGCAGTACCACAACCCCAGCTCCAACGCGAACAAGCGGCAGTCGACGGCAAGCACGGCGTCGACAAACACACTCGACCATTCGTCGCCCTCGACCATGCTGGGATCGTTGAATGACCCCGTGTACCTGCCCAACGGCGACATTGGTCCTATTAGCAACCACGCTGCGCTGGGCCAGCAGCTGATGTGCGGCCTTCCAACACGGTCTGCATCGCTGCTGAAGCGCGATATGGATGTGATTGGATACCCGGTTTCTTCGGCAGTCAGTATTTTGCCGTTTGGGCAGGGGAACCCGGGGGAATGTGCGGCTCCTTTCCAAAACTACCACATGCCGTTTGCCAACGTCGATGGCGGCATGGGCGTTGGCCAGACAGTGGACGCGAGGGGCGCAGATAGTCTCGGGAATACAACCCACGATCTGTCGGCCCTGTCCTTGCTCTCCGACAACGCCGGCCATGTCAACGGCGGCCATGTCAACGGCGGGCACGGGCTGATTGGTGGAATGGGCGCGGCTCCTGGCATGCCAAACGACATAAAGCCGCTCACGTTTGACAACATGTTTGGCGTCAATCTGCAGCGCGAAGGCGGAAGCCCCATCAGCTCGTCAGGCAGCAGCAACTACAGCAGCTGCAACGGGCTGTCCAAGCATACGGGTGATAATGATGAGCACCGCGACAAGCGTTCAAAATCGCAGGTGCATGCGGGCTCGAGTGCGTTTAGCGGCGACATGGATATATCGCTTGTCGAGAACTTTTTGTCCAATCCTGGTGTTGCTGAACTGCTCAACACGCCGTGGGGCCAGACCCAAAACAGCAACGACTGCGCGTCGTCCGAAACGTACGAGAGCGAGAGCGAGGACGATGCCAGCAATGAATCGGACGATAATGACGACTACGAATATGATGTTGGCAACGATGACGATGATAATGACGACGACGGTAACGATAATCTACAGTATGAGGGGCAGC